GTAAAAAAGAAACCTGATAACTGTCATGGAGCATTTATTTAAGTGAATTTAAAATCTTGGGTCATGAGAGTCAAGTTGTGATTTTGAGATAAATTGTCGCCAGGGAGTCAGAACAACTTTAGTAGATGACGTATTTTTGCACTGATTTTTTAAAATTGTGTCTTCTTACAGTGATAACTGGATTAAAGCTAATAGACTACAATGGATGTCTGTTTATAAAGTGCATATGATGACTTGATATCGTGACAGCAAACCTCAGTTATTTTTGCTTGACGAGTTCAGCTTTATAAATTTTTACAATGAATTTTCTTTTACAGAATATATATTTTTTTCTTTTTTCTTAGCAAAAATGCCAGTACTTGAATTATTTTTTTACCTGTGGCAGAGCCTAAATAAGACTATTCTATTTTATGGTGTTCCTGTTACCATTCCTAGTTTCATCATTCTCAAGGCAAATACTGATTTTCTTCTGTCAGCAAAACTTCAGATTCCTGACTTTTAAGAATATGAAGGTGCTTCAGAAGGTTTATGGAAAAGTAGAACTAAAAGATAATGAAAATTTTCCATGAGCTCTTTGAAGTCCCCTCATAATACCAAGGTTGCTGGGGGGTAAATTACATCTTTGGTGATAAGGTGAAAACCCTCTAAGAGACCATGTAAATATTAAAGTTGGAACAATACATACATTATTTTTTATATGATTTTGAAACCATTTGCCCTAAATGTACATTTTGAAATAAACAGATAGAAAGTAAAAAAAAAAGGATAGTGGAACATTTGGGGGAAGGATGGTGATCAGGCGGCCACCATGAAAAAATGCCGCCAACGCCGCTGGGCCGGGAATGGGGAAGTGGTTATGCTGGTAAATGTCTTGCTTGTAAAATTTCACCATTATTTTAAAAAGAGAGAGGTGGGCGAGATGTACAGCATATCCATGGAAGAAGACCCCCAAACTGGTTCCAGTCGTTGCCTCTAGGTAGAGGAACTAGGGTCTAAGGGCAGGGAAGAAAACAGAGTCCACCTTCTATCTACCCTCTCTCCTCTCCTCTGCATGTCTGACTCCAGCTTGACGTCTGCAGACGTCACCTGGTCAAAGCAGCTTCTCCGTCTACACCCGTTCCCCTGGGCTGCGAGAAACGACCAGAATAACTCGAGCTAAAGCATCCGGACTCGTGCCTGGCTTTTGGTGGGGAAAGACAGGGGGTGCTTCAAAGAGTCCCTGGAAACATCCCATGATCTTGGAATGCTGGTTTTCCACCAAAAAAAAAAGTTTTTGAAGCCCCCTCCTTCAGTACCTTCCATGGCCGGGACAGCCAGAGCTGCTGAGCCGGGGGGCTGGAAGTCTGGGAGAAGCGTTAGGGCAGTCAGCGAGGGTGTATTTTGCTCACTGAAGGATGCCACAGAAGCTGAACTGGGAAAAGCAGAACAGAGTGAGGTCTACACCAGGGAGTGGGAAGGGAGCAAAAAAAAAGGAAGGGTTGTTTTGCTTCAAGTCATTTCCTCTGTGTTCAGACGAGAGAGAGGACCAGGCAGGAAGTGGACTGTTTCGTCAGAATGCAGAGGGCATCAAGAGCGGAGAAGCCCAAGACGAGAGGGCTTGGACAGCAAGGACAATGGGCCCGGCCCAGCCCGAGGCGCTGACCCATGGGGCCCCTCATTCAGCTGAGTCCCAGGAACATGAGTCTTTTCGGTGGCTTCTCTGAGATCACACCCTAATTCTCAACAGCTTCGGGGTTCACAGCTGGTACGTGGCGACTCATGCGGCCCAGAATCTGCTTGCTGAAATCACCCCACCGAGGAAGAACCCCCAGGTCCCTTGGGCCCTTCCCAGACGCCTCCCTCTGGCCACCTCCACCTTCCTGACCTGTGGCCCCTAAGAGGCATGGGGTAGCAGCCAGAACCAAGCGATCAGGCTGCAACACACCTGCACCACCACCATCCCCCCCTCCCCACCCCACCCATCCACACAGTGAGAAAAGCAGGGCGGGTGACGCCAGAAACCTCAGCCTCGGGAACTTGGATGTGAACTAGACCTCCCCAGCCTCCGTTCCCTCTCCAAGCACGTAGGGCTGGGAAAATGCCACTAGACGCTCTCCTCCGCCAAGGGCTGGCACCCGGGCACAGGTGAGCCCTCTGCAGTTGCACCTGGTTTCCGAGGCCCTCGGTGCTGTCGGCAGTATTCTCTGGGAGCGGTGCCTTCCTTATTGGCTGGCCTGGCAGCGCCAAGTGCACACAAGGGTTCCTCCAGTGTCTCGTGGCTCACTGGGCTGGCCCAGAAGCTGGCAGCACAGGGACGAGAATGCTGTCAGCCTATGTGTACTGGCTGTGAGCCTTGTCCTGCCCGACTGACTCTAAGCGCTACCCAAGCACCACGTCACGAGACACCCCCAAGAGCCCTGTGAAGTAGGGAGGGCTATGGCTGACCCCATTTTGCAGGCGAGAAAGCAGAGGCACAGAGAACGGTCGTGACTTGTCCATGGTCACAGAGCCGGTGCCGTGGCGAGGCTGACCTTGTTCATGGGGCTCTAGAGCCCACAGGCCACAGCCACCTGCCTTGCCCTGCCTGGTCCAGGCAAAGGGTTTGAAAGGCACTTTGGAGTCCCAGAACTTGGTGATGGTTTGGATGGGACAAGGGACAGGGAAAGAGTCTTCTTTCTAGGTGGGTGATGATGCCATCGCCGAGAGGGAGACACAGGTGGGGAGAGAAAGCATGGCCTCACTGCCGTCAGCTCCGTACAGAGAAAAGTAGAACTGCCCCTGTGTGCTTCTGAGACTATGGAGACCCAGAGAGGAAGCAGCCAGTGGTTTGGAACTGCTGGTCTTACGATTAGTAGCCCAATGTGTAACCCATGATGCCATTAGAGCTGCGGGCCAGGTGGGTGGGGAGGGACTAAGTGGCATTCTGTTCGGACAGTCGAACAGTCACAGGCCCAGCCCTGTGAGTCACAGCCATGAGCCGTGATCATGAGCCGGCTCTGGGTCTGTGTCAACTTGGCCACCAGGCTCGGCCGCCACAGCCGCGTGCTCCCCGGGCCTGCTCACCTTAAAGGAGCTGAGCAGCGAGAAGGTCTCGGACCAGAACTGCAGCATGCCTGTCTTGGTGACTGTCAGGAAGTGACCCTTCTTCTGAAGCCGGTGCCTCACGTACTCCACCTTCACAATCTCACACCCTTGGTTCCTGCGCAGGGTGGTCAGAGAGACAAGAGGCCATGCAGACCCGGCTCAGGAAGGAAAGGGAGGCCTGATCCAAGACCCACAGAGAGAGAAAGACCAACGCTAGCAAGACAGGCTTCACATGTAAGGTCACTGCAACAGAGACACAGGGCTCAGCCCCTTCTCCAAGCACCTTGCTGCGAGACGGGTCCGTCCGAAGGCGGTGCGTTTATCCTGTGAAAGGACACTCCATCTCCTCGTGACAGAGGAGCCACGACAGAGAGTTGCTGTCTTTTATGAGAAAACCTTCTTTGATGAGAAAAGCAGCCCCCGGCGGGCCAGTGCAGTGGGACTTGTGACGGAGGACGGGAAAGGACACTGTTTCCAGGAACTGCCCGAGTGCTCTGGGGTGGAGAGGGGACTAAACTCAAAAACCAAACTCACTGCCATTGAAGTGGATGCCGACTCATAGCGACCCTGTAGGACAAGGGAGAACTGGCCCTGTGGGTTTCTGGGACTGACTCTTCGGGGGAGTAAAGAGCCCCGTCTTTCTCCCAGAGAGGGGAATTGTGAGCAAGAAAGAGCTCAAAATAGACCAGGGGACGATGAGCCTTTACGAGGTGGTGCATCCTGGGAAGGGCACTAGATGCTGCAAACCACACCTGGGGCAGGCCTGGCCCCAGCCCTCAGGGGACGCCTCTCCCATGCCAGTCAGTGCTAGCTTCCAGTGGCTTCTCTCCTGCCTGACAGTTGGCCAAGCCAGGGATCTGACTGGGAAGGCTCCCCACCATTCTGACTTCTCAACATGGCCTCTTGATCTGCCCGCATCTCTGGACCCAGACAGGGAAGGTATTGTCACCCACACTGTCTCCAGGCACACTAGGAGATAGACACTTGCCTGGAGTTAGGTCCTGGGGTGCCAGGAGAGTTAGAACGTGGTGCCAGGTGGCACCACGGGCATGACCCGGCTGGTGGCCTAAGGCTAACTCCCTTTGTTGGGAGGTTTCACTAACACTGAATCTCTGCAGGAGAGAGAGCCAGCCTTGCATCCGAGCCCAGGCTCCCAGGCTCCCCTTGTCTTTACACAAACACACACACACACACACACACAAACACAAACACAAGTTCCACACGGGTCATGGTGGATAGTTTCAGTCACATCCTCTAATCCCGCCACTTCCGGTTCTGCCGTATTTCCCTGGGCTAAGAGACCTGATTTTCTGTCTTGACAAAGGAGGACGTGAAAGTCATCCGTGTGCCTCACAGACCACTGTGAGTCAGCAATGACTCCCTGGCAGTGGGAGAGAGATTAAATCCCTGGCTGCTTCGGGGCGAGACTCATTTCTAGCTCTTTGTCCCCTGTTGCCCTGGTAGTGCTCCGGGCTAGGTGTTAGGCTGCCAACCACAAGGTCAGTGGTTCAAACCTGCTGGCCACTCCCAAGAGTCGCCTGTGAGAAATTCAAAGCTGTCTGCTCCTGTCAAGATTTACAGTCTCGTCAACCCTGTACCGGGTTGCTGTGAGTCTGCGTCCACTCCTGGCAGTGGGTTTTTGAGGTTTGGTTGTCCTGCTTGTCCTACCCCGGACATGATCCTCTGAGACAGACCGACAGGCCCCTAGCCCCCTCCATACCTGGAGGCCAGCAAACATTGTACCACAGGCCTGGCGCCGGGTCGCCAGTCTCCTGCCCCTGACAAGAGGTGGAGCTTTCTCAAAGTGGGTTCCAGGAGTAGCTCCCTGGCAGCAGAGTTCTGCTCTGGGACAGCTGCTCAGACCCTTG